TCTTACATTGCTAAATTAGGGACGGCTAGCGCAGATTGCCCTCGGGTAGCTTTGCGCGAAATTCAAAAACAAACAAACATTATTCATTTAGAGGGATTTGGCCGTCACACTTATAACGGACCCATGGCCTCAATGTTCGGAGCGCGATTTCTCGGCAAGGGATAAAAACTATTGTTCCTTGGATTCACAGTCCAGCACACTAACTATGGCCACACCTGCCACTATATACTAAAAGTAAATATTGTATTGTTTTTCTGAGTAGAGTGTGAAGGCTGTAACGACTTGAATAATTATATCTATCAGACTAGTTTTGACAATCATTTTCTATTTTCAGATGTTGAGAGCTACTGGATTCTTTCGTGGATGGTAAGCAGTTATTATTCTTAGTTAATCGTATGTTTGGAGAAATCATCGTCCTTAAATTGAAACATCAGAATTGGATTTTAATTATTGTGAATCAGCTTACGCTAAGCCTGTGCAGAATTTAAGTTCCCTAAGGTAGGTACTACTCTGTATATCAGTTATCTGTGTTTGAATGTTTCCGTACAAGTTGAAATGTTTCCAAAAGAACACGAGAATGTAGACCTATAGATTTCACGCCCACCATGTCCTAAGACGACATTTTCCCCTTAATAACTTTACGTTGTGTTCTAGTAATGTGTCAAAATGTATACATGTACTCGTAACGACAAATTTAGCAAGTAATGTCGACAATCTATGTATGAATTTATCGCTACATGAAATAATATTTTAAGATTAATTAGATTGCTCTTTTACAATCGATTAGAAACATTATTAATTTTAACCTGAAACAAAAACAATCAAGAAGTAGAGTTGTTAAATGCAAAAGTTAATAATAAAATGTTGCTTATTCTGCGTAGGAAGATTCTTATACCATGAGTATCGTGACGCCCGTGGCAGCAGGTGTCGTTGGAGGCTTCCTGGTTCTGGGCACCATACTGGTTTGCAGTTATATTTACCGATCCTGTCATTCACGTAAGAACAAAATAAGGAAGAAAACTCTAAAAGTATGTATAATTCATTTCTCTAATCATGTAAGGCCTGTTACTTAAATCCTTTCTGATTGGATTAAACGCAACCTTTTTCTTCAAATCTTGAGACGAATGCATATTTTTTTTTTATTACCATAAATCCTCTGTTTGTAAACCATGTTATTTTTATGAGTTCCAGCGAGAAATGTCCACACACATATATATATATAAGCTCCCAAACTACCTGATGTACGGTACAGCAGCACTCTCTGACATCAATTTGTTAAGTATCTGCTTCTTTGTTAATTTCCGACAGAATTTCTTTCCGAGGAACTTCAGCGATACAAGTCCTTTCTTGATTAAAC